ACTTGACCCCCCACACTGTGCCAGCCTCGGTGCTGGGCCCTGGGCGTATCTCATCTCGGTTAGTTCTCCCAACAGTCCTACGATGCCAGCATCCTAGAACTAAGGTCGAGAAAGCTGAGGTGCAGAGAGGCAAAGTGATTTGCCCAAAGCCTCACGGCCAAAGCCCTAAAATTGACACCCATACCTGCCTGAAGTGCAGGCTGCTTCCTCAGCTACAGCTGCTCCCTGTACGGAGCGGGCTGTGTTCTCTTAGGACTCTCACTCTGAGAGAGTGACAGAAAGAGACAGAACACCCTGTCGTCACTCCATCCAGGCCAATGTAGTAAAAGAGGCACATGCCTCTCACACTGGAAGACAGACAGAAGAGAATTGTCAATGGGAAAAGGGGAAAGCCTCGACGATATTTACTGGAGAATGACTGGTTCCTAATTCCTGAGTAACTAGAGTGAGCTTCCCTTTGCATCTGCAGAGGGAGGAGGCTGAGCGGGCCCTTCTCTGGGGAGGCCCCATCTCTCCTGAGGAAAGAAGGATAATCTTCTCTCCCAACCAGGAAAGCCAGTAGGGTGCCAAGACAATTTAATGGGGAGAGAGTCATCTTTTCAGCAAATAGTGCTGAGACAACTGTATATCCATATGCAAAAGAATGAATTTAGATCCCTACCTCACATCATTCACAAAAGTTACCTCTAAATAGGTCATACCCCTAAATCGGTCTAAGAGCTAAAACTATAACGCTTAGAAGAAAATGTTAGGTATAAATCTTATGACCTTGGGTTTGGCAAAGCTCTTAGATATGACACCAAAAGCCCAAGCAGCAAAAAATAAAATTAACAAAATTGGGTGTCATCAAAAATAAAAACTTAGGGGGCGCCTGTGTGGCTCACTGGGTTAAGCCTCTGCCTTCCCCTCAGGTCATGATCTCAGGGCCCTGGGATAGAGCCCCAAATCGGGCTTTCTGCTCAGCAGGAGGCCTACTTCCCAGCCCCCTCTGCCTGCCTCTCTGCCTACTTGCGATCTCACTCTCTCTGTCAAATAAATAAATAAAATATTTAAAAATAAATAAATAAAAACTTGGGTGCTTTAAAGGACACCCTTTAAGAAAGTGAAAAGACAACTCACAGAATGTACTTGCCAAACCTGTATCTCACAAGAAACTCGTACCTAGAATATATTAAGAACTCTTTCAACTCAATAATGAAACTAGAAATAACCCAATTGAAAAAGTGGGGAAAGGATTTGAATTAACATGTCTCCAAAGAAGATGCACCAATGGCTAATAAGCTATGAAAAGTCATCAGAGAAATACAAGTCAAAATCGCAATGAGATACTATTTGACACCCAGTAAGATAGCTATAATAAAAAGAGATGATGGGGCACCTGGTGGTCCAGTTGATAGAGGGTCTGACTCTTGGTTTTGGCTCAGGGGGTGATCTCAGGACCCTGATCTCAGAGTCGTGACATTGAGCCCTGTATTGGGGCTCAGCAGGGAGTCTGCTTGAAATTCTCTCCCTCTGCCCTTGGCATGCCATAAATAAATAAATAAATAAAATATTTTTAAAAATAATAACAAGTGATCATAAGCATTTTTAAGGATGTAGAAAAACCAGGACCCTCCTAGATTGCTGGCAGAATGTAAAATAGTGCAGGGCTTTGGAAAAAGTCTGGTGGTTTCTTAAGAGGTTAAGTGTAGAGTTATTAAATGACCCAGCAATTCTACACCTAGATGTATATTCAAGAGAAATTACAACATAACAACCATGGGTGCCTGGTTGCTCAGTGGGTTAAAGCCTCTGCCTTTGGCTCAGGTCATGATCGCAGGGTCCTGGGATTGAGCCCCGCATCGGGCTCTCTGCTCAGTGGGGAGTCTGCTTCCCCCTCTCCCTCTCTCTTGCCTACTTGTGATCTCTCTCTCTCTGTCAAATAAATAAATAAAATCTTTTTAAAAAAACCATAACAACCACACACAGACACACAAAACATACAACCACACAAAAATATGCACATGAATGTTCATACCAGCCTCATTCATAATAGCCAAGAAATGGGAACAACCCAAACAAAACAAGAGACACCAACACAAAGGGATATTATTTGGCAATAAAAAGGGATAAAGCACTGATCCATACTACTAATGGATAAGCCTTAAAAACATGATGTGCAATGAAAGAAACCGGTCACAAAAGACCACATATTGTGTGTCTCCATTTAGAGGAAATATCAAGAATTGGCAAATAGATAGAAGCAGAAAGTAGTGGTTGCTTAGGGCTGGGAGGGTGGAGAGCTGTGGGGTGATAGCTAACAGGGTTCAAGTTTCTTCCTTGGGGTAATAAATACGTTCTGAAAGTGATGGCTGCACGGCTCTTTGAATATACAAAAACCATTGAATTGTGCGCTCTAAATAGGTGAATTACGTAGTATGTGAATTACACCTCAGTAAAACTTGACCTGTCCCAGCACTTGGACTCCACCAATATCTGGGCAGCCATCTGGAAGTGATCTGAGGGTGTTGAGGAGGGGGAAACTCACATGTGCTGAGCATCCACTCTGTCACGGGCTTTGTGCAGGCTGAGACTAGGGGAAGGGTTTTCAGGACTCAGAAAGAAAATGTCTCCTTAAATTTTGCACCCTAGGCACTTCAAGCCCCAGACCTACACCCAGTAGGTTATTTAATCATTATAACGTCACTGTAAAACACATATAACTACACTGCGGATGTGGGTTTGAAGACTTGGAGCAGAACCGGGATTTGAACCAGGTCTCACTGGCTCCAGGGTCCGTCCTCTGTCCAGCCCTCCCCCATCATGCCAAGTGGAAAGAGGCCCTAGGAAGGAAGCCCCTCACAACCAAGGAGAGCTCAGCAAGTCTGCCAGCTGTTCCCCCGCCTGCCTGCCAGGGCCTAGCCCCACCTTCTTCTTTTTTAAAAAAGATTTTATTTATTTATTTGTTTTGGAGAGAGAATGAGAGAGAGTGTGTGCCAGGGGATGGGCAAAGGGAGAGGGAGAGAGAATCTCCAACAGACTCTACCCTGATCAAGGTGCCCGAGGCAGGGCTTGATCTCAGGACGTGGGGCTGATCTCAGTACCCTGACCTGGGCTAAAACCAGCAGTCAGACGCATAGCCAACTGAGCCACCCGGGCACCCCAGTCCCCACCTTCCAAGGGATCAAGGCTTTGGGGGCTCCACCTGAGCAGTCTTGCCTGAACCTGTGAGGATGGTGGGAATTCCAGGACCCCCCAGACATCACCAGGGGCACAGAATGTTTTATTCTTGAAACTGGCCACTAGACACCAAGGATGCCATTTAATCATTATGGCCAGCGAGTCCCCTGGGACCTGGACTGGGGCTCACAGCCTTGACGCTCAAATGCTGTTTACTCATTCAATCAATAAATATGGTGAGTACCTACTGTATGCTGGACCTGTTTTAGGCTCCCCAGGAATACAGTAGCAAATAAAACATTCCAGAGAGAGATTCAGAAAAGACAAATAAATAACTAATTGGGAAGTATTAACTGGTAAGCAATCTAATGGTGAAAACAAAATAGTACGAGGCAGAGCGATGGGGCCCAGGGAAGCAGGCAGGCTAGAGGAGGTGCAGTGTTGTATCCAGAATGCTTGGAGACTTCTGAAAGGCAGACACCGGAAAGAGAAGTGAAGCCAGCCTGCTCTGTGTGTCAGAAGTCTCCAGGTGCCATTGAACTTTCTTGGTGTATTTCTTTGGGTTGGTAGGAAGTTTCTACATGCCCACAGAGTCCCCATGCTAAGGACCTTGGAAAGAGGCTTGTGGTTAAGCTGGTAATGACCAGAGGGGAGCCGTTGGAGGGGAAGGTAGCTGGGATATGAGCAGGGACATAAACTAGAGATCTGGAAGGAGAGGAAGCCCTGGGGCCAACCCAGCTACTGGCCCAACCTCTTTCCATATACCTCAGCTCAGGTTTTGGAGGCTTCAATGTCTGGTTGAGGCAAAGAAATCCGGTCCTGAGCTCCCCACTCAGGCCCTCCCAGCCTAACTTGCTTCCCCAAGTGCAGAGCCAATCCCAGGATGAGCAGAACCAGGCGTTAAGACCTTTGAACTTTTCCCAAAGACTCTTGGCTCTGGGATCTACATTCAAGCACGGGTGCTCAGGTCCCACTCTCCACCCTCCACCCCTGCCTCCGGGCTCCAGAAGAGAGATGAGCCTCCTCAGCGGGTTAATCCTTCACTCTGAAAAGGTGCTGGTCAATGTGTCCGTCCTGCAGATGCAGGCAGATACTGAAGCCAAGTGAAGGTCCACGTCACTCAAGTGGTGAACGGAAGAACTGCCTCTGGGCCTCAACTTCCCTTGCTCTTTCCGACGACCAGGAGCTGGGAGTCTTCCGCGGGGAGGAACGCTGGCCTGGCTTCTGATTCCAAAGAGCCATGTCTGGGCGACAGAAGCCCAGAGTGTGCAGCCTCGGGCAAGTCCCGGCGCTCCAGGAGCCTCAGGCTTTCCGGCCGCATCCAGAGTGAGGTGAGTCGGGAACTCTGAGCACGTCCTTCGCGCGGATTCTGGGGCCCCTGCCTCTCCCGGGACCTCAGCACTGCTCAGCGGAGGCCCAGCAGACCCCGCCCAACAACCTTCGCTGGCTCGGGCTGGGGCCGCGGCGCGGGGTTCGGGTCTCTCTGACCGTCGGATTAATATTCAGATATTAAGTAAACAATAAATTAGCAAAACTACAAGAAAATTTTACAGCCCTTTGCATTTGGCAATCATTGAGTGTTAATTAGAAATTCATTACAATTAAAACCCTGCCTAAACAGGGCCTGCGCGCCTTAATTACATCTGATTTTTAATTCAGAATACGTGTTTACACAGTAAGCGCTACGTACCCCATGATTATCCCCAATCCTCTTTATACTGTACTAATTATGTAAATTAAACCTAATTAACTGACGAAAACTGCCGTTAATTCAACTGGTAAAAGATATGTGCTCGCGGAGGAGGCGCGGCCGCCCAGCCCCAGTCCACGCCGGAGCCGGAATGGGCTCCCAGGCCTCCGGCCGCGTGGACGCGACGCCGGGGACGCGGAGGCAGAGCGGACCGGGCGGGGAGGTGGGGGGAGCACGTGATCCGGAGTCTGGCCCTCCGACCTCAGTTCCACCCCGCAATGGATAAAAGAGAGAATCCGTGCTAATGGGGGTCAGAAAGACCAAGGGCATTGAGTGCCACGGCCTCCCCAGTCTCTGCACTGGGCCGCAGGACCCACAGCGCCGTCTGAGGAAGACGGGTCCCACCCTCCTCAGTCTGAACCCGAGTTCAAGTCCCAGCGCTGCCCCGCACTGGCTGCCTGAACCTGAGCAAGTGACCTGTTATTGCTAACCTTGTTTCCTCTGCACGAAGTGTTCTGTGATAATAAAAGCTCTTCATGAGCTGGGCGATCCTGCACATTCCTTATCTTCCCTTCACTAAGCGAGGTTCTACCAGCAGCGTGCGAGGCACATTTGGCGTCTGGGAGATCAGTCTGCGTCCCTTATTGCCTGGGGAACCTGGGTGGGTTGGCTTTCACTACCTGACCCTCAGTTTCCTGCCTGTAAAATGGGAATAAATGATCCCTACCTAGTCCCACAGCCATTGTGAGAACCAGCTGTGCAACTGTAAAATGCAGTTCACGGTGATCCAATGATCCATCCCAACTGGATGCTGGTCCAGAGCAGAGCCCAGATCCCACCCCCGACACCCACTCACGGGAGACCACTGCCCCACAAGCGAGCGATGTCACCTCCCCAGCCTCTCTTCACACGCCTTCAGTCTTTCTCCAGCTCAGACCCTGGAGGGAGCGTTGGGTGGGGTCTGCGAAGCGGGTCTTGGGTGCAGAGAGCTGTCTGCAGCTTGGTGCTGAACGGAGATGCGGGGACAACCCTGCTCAGCCTTAGTGCCACAACCCGGGAGGGAACTTTTGTCTGAGAAGTCCTCAGGGGCCCCGGGGCCAGGCTGCCGGAAACGCCCTAGAGGCCGGGCCCCGGAGGCGCTGTTGGCCCCCACAGTACAATAGAGGCAGGACACAGGCCTTGCCCCTCCTCTTTCCACTCCCACCTCCTCAGTACCCCGGGGCGTCCTGGCTCCGCGATCGTTGTCACTACCACACCGAATTCTGAGATGCCTTTTAAAAAATCATTAGGAGCCTAAGAATAATTACCGAATGGGATTGTAATTATGGGATGGGGGAGGCCGTGCAGAGGGAAGGGGGATGAGCAGGTGGAGGCTGGGGGCGGCTCTCGGACTGGGACGGAAAATGGGTTCCTGTTTACCTCGAAGGGAAGTGTAACGGGGCGGGGGAGGGCAAAGAGAGGTAGAATTAAAGCGGGACAGAGGCAAAGCCTGGGAAAGACGCATTAACGGAGGGACCAGAAGCAGAGAAAAGGGCTGAGCAGGCTCTTAGAGAAGAGAAAAAGAAAAGGAGATCCAAGAGGGAGAAAGACGGAAACTGAAGGAGGTGAAAGAGCGAGATGCCGCTTTAGAAGGGCCACCGCAGAGCAGACAGAACCCTTAAACTTGAGAGTAGTTTTTTGAGGCCTTGGATAACACGGTAGCCAAGGGGAGGGGGTGACAAACGAGTCAGGCCGGGCCCCTTTCTCCAACAGCAAGGCCTGGGCAATCCGTTCGCGCCCCCAGAGGATTCTCCCAGGGTCCCTGGGAGCCAGGGGAGAAGAGGAAAACGAGAGGAGAGAAGTGGACTGACGAAGGAGAAGGAGTGACGAACCTCGGAGCAGGCGGAATGCGGTTGGGGGGGGGGGGGGAGAAGGCCTGTAACCCAGAGCGAAAGGGAAAACGAGGGGGCGGGGGCGAGGGCGACCCCGCGCCGCCGGCCGAGGAAGATTTATGGCACCGTTCGGGTTCCAAGGACAGGCTGCGCTAGCCGCTGTTGCCAACGTCGGTAGCCACAGTGGCCGCTGCGCCCCCTGCCCGGGCGGCCCGCCGCGCCCCGGGCCATCCCTGCCATTATTAACTTCTGTTTGATTAGGGTAATTGTTCAAACTTAGGCTGGACAGTATGATTAATTACAGTTTAATTAACGTATCCATTAAGGACACTTAATGCCGTGGGGGGGAGGGGTTTGAGGGGGCGCCCGGGTATGAACAAATAGGGAGGGGGGAGACTGGTAACTCAAATGAAGTAGAAGCGGAGATTGAAAGGGAGAACACGGTGACCCAAAGGGGTAATGGAGGAAAAGAATAGTGAAGACAGAAACCTACAGGCACAAAGGGGAGAGAAGAGGGGAGAGAGATGGAGCTTCGCAAAGATAGAAGATGCCAAGGGGTGTCTGGAGCATGGGGCGGGGGCTAAACCCCTACTACGGGGAAACAGAGTTAGCAGGAGAGCTGTAGTAGACTCTAGCAGCCTACTAGAAAGTAGTTGACCCCCGGTATCTCCCAAAGATGACTTAGTTCCTACTCGGGGCAGGTCGCAGTTGATGGGGGAAGCAACCAAGGCGGGGGCGGGGAGGTGGGTGGCCCAAATCCAATTCTACTACTTAGTGAAGGAGTCGCCCCTCCCCAGGCTGGTGTGTCCTGACGCCTTCCAACCAAATCAGAAGCGGTGGAGAAGTTGATTTTGCCCCTTCCCAGCTATCCCGCCCCCCTCCGCCCCCGCCCACACCCTTCTTTCTGCCCAGGAGGCCTCTGGTTACCCAAGTGGCTCCCGGGGGCCACTCTCGGGATCCACTGCTTTGGCCCAAAAGTGCGATGCCCTCCCTCGCGCCCCTTCCTCCAGAGCCTTCCTCAGCCCGGTCATCCGGCCTTGGCCCAGACAGAGGGCTGGGCCCTCCCCTACTTTGTCCTGGGAGGCAAACTTTGCGGCCCCAAGCCCTTCCTCCCTCCTGTCCCCTTTGGCGAGTGTGGGCCGCAGGTGCCGGGCGCAGGGCGCAGGTGTGCGGCCGCTTACCTGGGGCGCGCAGGCCCGGGAGCTGCAGGAGGCGGCGGGCGCGGCGCGTGGCCCGCGGGCTAGAGGACCCCGGGAGGGCGCGAGTGACTGCGCGGGCGGTGGGTGTGGCGCCCCGGCTCGCAGCTGTCAGGCGCGCCCGCCCCGCGCCGGCCTCGCCACTCGGGCTGTGACCGCGCCGTGCCCGTCGCCGCGCCATGCGCTCCAGGCTTCGGCCTCCGCTCCGGGCCCGTCCGGGGCCTCGGGGGCAGCGGCGCAGGGCACACGTCTTCGCTCAAGGGGCCCTGGCGTCCAGCGCCCGCTGAGAGCCCGCGCCGCGCGGGAGGGGCCAGCGGGGCCGCGGGTGTGAGCGCGAGGAGCCCGGGAGCGCGGCTGTGCGCGCGCGCGGGGAGGGGCCGCGCCGTCACCCGGAGAGCCCGGCGGATTCCGGACTCCCGCCCGCCGCTCCGCCCGCCGCGCACCTCCTCTCACCGCTCGCCCGGCTCCAGCCGCCGCCGCACGGTGAGTACCCGCGTCGGGTCGCCCGCCGCCCCCGCGCCCTGCCCGTACAGCTCTTTTCGTTTAGTTCCGATTTGGGTTCTTGCGGCTGTTGTTTTTATTATTATACCTAAGGACTCCATCGCCTCACTCCCAGTGCTCTCCGCCTCCCGCCTCGTCGCCCTCTCCAAGCTCACCCCTCAAGCCCCAGGAGCCGGAGAGGGCTCCTCAAAGCAGCCCTGGCGGCTGCTCCTGACCGCTGCGTACAGCTCATTGCCCGGGCTTTCCGCTCTGGCCCTCGAAATTCGGTTCCGTTTCTAGGGTCCCCCTTCTCCTGGTTCTGGGGCCCAGAGCCCCCTCCACTCCGGAAAAACCCGCGGGGCCCCCAGACCCTCAGCGTGGGGAGGACGCGCTCTGCTCTGAGGCGCACCCTTCACTGCATGCGGGCAGGACACACTTGCCGATTTCGGGAAACCGAGAAGACATCGTCATTTCCCAGAGCCTCAGAGCACCCCCCACCCCCGTCACCTTCCCAATCCCGCCTGAGAGCTCTTCAGGGGGCTGGGGGCTGGCCTCAGCTGGGGAGTTAGGACAGTGTTTTTGCCTCCTGAGATGTTACAGGGGACTTTGACGTGAAAGGAGGGTCAACTTGTTTCAATTCGATCCCCGGAGATAAAGATGAAACAGACAGATAACAGATAAATAGCTTGATACTTGAAGAAGGTATGAAGACAGATGGGAGAAAGAGGAGCGAGCTGGGAGAGACAGGCAGCTCAGGGACAGATAAGATCGACAGATGAGGGGCACCTAGACAAACAGAGGGAGGGAAAGAGACAGACAGAAGAGCCCAGTCTTTTCCATGAAGGCTTTTGAACTTGGATCCCCAGTCTCACTGGAGCTGCCCCTCTGAAAATGGATTTGCCTTTTCTGATGAGTTTAAGAGAGGGGCCCTCAGGGTTGAGCTGTCTGGGCCGCAGGAGTGCCTGCAGCCGAGGGCTGGATGAGAGCCTTTGGTGTCTGAGGACACGTGGCTGGGCCAGGCGACCTAGAGGGCCCCAAGCATCAGTCCCTGGGTCCTTCTGCTGCCAGGGTCCACGGGAGAGTCTACCTCCCTGCTTGGGCCAGAGATCAAAGCGCCCGACCGTCAGCAACTTTTGACCTGGAGCCTTGTGGCTCCGAACACCCGCCAGGATTCTTCTCAACCCATATGAATTGGGAGAGCCGGGCTTGAAGTATACTCAGGAGACGCCCCCAAAAGAGGAAGCCCGGAGCCGGGAGAGACTGCATGTGGCCAGAGCAGGAAAGGCATATCTGAAGAAGGAGGAAAACTTAGGGAGTGGGCTGTTGGAAGCAAAGGAGAAGTGGCTCCTGAGAAACTTCATCGAGAGCCCCTCTGTCCCCACGCGCTGACCCGGATGGAAACCAGCTTTGGTCGCAGCTAAAAATGCAGAAAATGTGGTTAGGAACTGCGTGACCCTGGTCGACTGATGGCTGGGGAAAAAACGGTTTGTATTTCCAGCCGGTATCTTTCTTCTCAACGAACGTGAGGCTCTGGGCGTGAGAGGAGAAGCTCGGGTTTGTGGAACCAGTGCTGCTATCCTCGGGAACCGGCTCCACACGGAGCTGGGTGCGGTGGGGGCCGCCCTGGGTCTGGGCGCGCACAGCGAGCTTTGGAGAGCCGGATTCAGCACCGCGAACAGCGGTCCTTTCAGCCTCTCCCCCTACACACACACCCCTCCAAGGCCTCGAGACCCTCCTCCTTCTCTTTGCGCCCCCCCCCCGCCCCCTGCTGTCTGGAGATGGGCAGTGACCGCCCCTCCCCCCGTCTGTATCCCTCCCAGCGCCTCCCCCGCCCGCCCGCGTGCATGCGCGACTGAGCAGAGGGGCAGCCGTCCCCGAAGTCCGGGCTTCAGGACCCCGGCGGGTAGGGCAGGCTGCGAGGGTAGCCAAAGGCACACGGACCTGGACGTTGGGAAGCCTGGGTTCGGAAATGGCTTTGCTGTGTGGCCTTGGGCAAGTCACTCTCCGTCTCTGGGCCCCACTTCCTCCACAATCCGAAAACAAAATTGGGTTCCTAGCTGCCGGGCTTCCTGAGGTCTCAATTACCCCTTCTTCTCCCCCAGACCCCAGGGGCTTTTGTTGTGGCGCCAGCACGCGTCTGAATAACAAAAAGGCTCCCGTCCAGGGGGCGAATGAGCTTGGACTCCGGTTAGCCAAGTTCCCCACGCGTCCAACTCGGCGCGCCTCGCTGGGCGGGCCGGAGCCACGGTGGCGCTGAAAATGGCTTATCTGCTCTTTACTTTCTCTGTTTCGCAGGAGCGGCGGCATGGAGGCTCTCACCACTCAGCTGGGGCCGGGGCGCGAGGGCAACTCCTCACCCAACTCTAAGCAGGAGCTGCAACCCTACTCGGGCTCCAGCGCTCTCAAACCCAACCAGGTGGGCGAGACGTCGCTGTATGGGGTGCCTATCGTGTCTCTGGTCATCGACGGCCAGGAGCGCCTTTGCCTGGCGCAGATCTCCAACACTCTCCTCAAGAACTACAGCTACAATGAGATCCACAACCGCCGCGTGGCCCTGGGCATCACGTGCGTGCAGTGCACGCCAGTACAGCTGGAGATTCTGCGTCGGGCCGGGGCCATGCCGATCTCGTCTCGCCGTTGTGGTATGATCACCAAGCGCGAGGCCGAACGCCTATGCAAGTCGTTCCTGGGCGAGCATAAGCCGCCCAAGCTGCCGGAGAACTTCGCCTTCGATGTGGTGCACGAGTGCGCGTGGGGCTCCCGTGGCAGCTTCATCCCCGCGCGTTACAACAGCTCGCGTGCCAAGTGCATCAAGTGCGGCTACTGCAGCATGTACTTCTCGCCTAACAAGTTCATCTTCCACTCGCACCGCACACCGGACGCCAAGTACACACAGCCCGACGCCGCCAACTTCAACTCGTGGCGCCGTCATCTCAAACTCAGTGACAAGTCGGCCACAGATGAACTGAGCCACGCTTGGGAGGACGTCAAGGCCATGTTCAATGGCGGCACGCGCAAGCGGACTTTCTCGCTGCAAGGAGGCGGCGGTGGCGGCGCTAATGGCGGGTCGGGTGGGCAGGGGAAGAGTGGTGCTGGCGGCGGGGGCGGCCCGGGGTGTGGCGCAGAGATGGCCCCAGGCCCGCCGCCCCACAAAACCCTGCGCTGTGGCGAAGACGAGGCCACTGGGCCTCCTGGGCCGCCTCCTCCCCATCCGCAGCGGGGACTTGGTCTAGCCGCAGGAGCCGGCGGCCCGGCGGGCCCTGGAGGGCCTGGTGGCGGCGCCGGCGTACGCAGCTACCCAGTGATCCCAGTGCCCAGCAAGGGCTTTGGCCTCTTGCAGAAACTGCCCCCGCCGCTTTTCCCTCACCCCTACGGCTTCCCCACGGCCTTCGGCCTCTGCCCCAAAAAGGACGACCCGGTGCTAGGCGCGGGCGAGCCCAAGGGAGGCCCAGGCACCGGGAGCGGCGCGGGTGCGGGCACTGGCGGAGGCGCGGGAGGGCCAGGATCCGGCCACTTGCCCCCGGGGGCAGGCCCTGGCCCGGGTGGCGGAGCCATGTTCTGGGGTCACCAGCCCTCTGGGGCGGCCAAGGATGCAGCGGCCGTGGCTGCAGCGGCCGCCGCAGCTACCGTATATCCGACGTTTCCCATGTTCTGGCCGGCGGCAGGCAGCCTGCCGGTGCCGCCCTATCCAGCTGCGCAGAGTCAAGCCAAGGCCGTGGCGGCCGCTGTAGCGGCGGCGGCGGCGGCGGCAGCGGCAGCAGCCGGCAGCGGCGGCCCCGAGTCCCTGGACGGTGCCGAGCCCGCCAAGGAGGGCAGCCTGGGCGCAGAGGAGCGCTGTCCGAGCTCTCTGTCTCGCGGGCCGCTGGACGAGGACGGCGCGGACGAGGCGCTGCCGCCGCCTCTTGCCCCACTTGCCCCACCACCTCCGCCCGCACGCAAAGGCTCCTATGTGTCGGCCTTCCGACCTGTGGTCAAGGACGCCGAGAGCATCGCCAAGCTCTACGGTAGCGCCCGCGACGCGTACGGCGCGGGGCCTGCTCGTGGGCCAGGGCCGGGAGCGGGGTCCGGCGGCGGTTACGTGAGTCCAGACTTTCTGAGCGAGGGCAGCTCCAGCTACCACTCTGCCTCACCCGACGTGGACACTGCTGATGAGCCCGAGGTGGACGTGGAGTCCAACCGCTTCCCCGACGATGAGGGCGCTCCAGATGAGACCGAGTCAGGCATACCCAGTGCGCCCAGCACGGGAGGCGGCCCGGACGCCGACCAGCCCGCAGGGCCCCCGTCTACCACCTCCTCGGGCGCCGACGGTCCCACAGACTCCCCAGATGGCGGCAGCCCTCGTTCCCGGCGCCGCCCCGGGCTGCCCGCCGCCAGCCGGTCAACATTTGGGGACCTGGCGGCCGACGACGTGGTGCGGAGACCGGAGAGGAGCCCGCCGAGCAGCGGCTATGAGCTGCGAGAGCCTTGCGGGCCGCTGGGGGGCCCAGCGCCGGCCAAGGTGAGCCCCGCGCCTGCCTCGCTGGTGGCGCCTCCCCGCTTACCCCTCGGCACCTCGGGGATGTGGGGCAGGTACTGGCCAAGTTAGGGACAGGAATCGTGTTTGGAGCAGGAGTTCGAGCGCGGCAGGCCCCAGCTACTCTGGATAGGCCCAGCTTCGGTAGAGCTGTGGAACTTGCTGGGACCTCCGAGTTAGGGTTTCGGAAAATCAGGGAGGAGAGTGTGCAGGCCTGAGAAAGGGGTGCTTTACATTTTTGTTGGTTGAGGGAGGGGTGGTGGAGACAGGCAGAGACTGTCAGTAACACAGAAAGAAAAGCGCTCTGGGGAAAGAACGCCGGGCAGATAAAGGGACCCAAAGCCAGAGAAAAGCGCCAATGGCACACGCACCCAGATGGGGATCAGAGTCCCAGGGAAGACAAGCTGATGAGGAGAGGACGGGGTCTCCCTCAGTCCGGGCCCCAGCAGTACCAGTCCCAGACTCTTCCTCCATCCCTATAAGTAGTTTACTGAGTCTTGTTGAACTCCAGCCTTGGGAACTGCAGGGTTCACTGGTAGGCAGCTTTCAAGACAGCTTGCAGGGCGGCAGAGGGGCTCCCAGGTTGGCTGGGCCACGGGTTCGGGTGGGGACTGTGCAACTAAGCTGAAATCGTTGGCCGTTTGAAAGTGGGTGCGCACACCTGTACATTTCCATTAGGTCCATTAAAACACGAATCATTAGCTGGATGCGAAAGGCGTCATTTATGCGGGGACTGGGAGAGGGCTGGCGGAAGATGCCGAAAAGGAGTTGGGGGTGGGGGACTCGCTGTGAATGGTCCTTGGCTTGAGAGCCGCTTTGTCTTTGTGCTAATTTATCGAGGGCGCTAATAATTATCGTTGACGCTACAACGGTGATGCAATGCGGCCTCCGAGGGCGCCAGCCTGCGCCGCGTGCCTCCTAGCGTCCGGGGCACTCGGGTCCCGCGGGCTAGCCGACCCCCGCCTCCCCTCTCAGCGCTCCCTCTCAGCCGCAGCGCAGGGCTGAACGGCCCTGAGCCGCTTCAAGCGCCCCCCCTAACCGCTTGTCATTTTCGGCCGCCGCAGGTGTACGCGCCAGAGCGGGACGAGCATGTGAAGAGCGCGGCGGCGCTGGGGCCCGCGGCCTCCTACCTCTGCACCCCCGAGGCCCACGGTAACGCCCCCAGCCCCCCTGCCGAGGTCGCTGGCCAATGTGACGTGGGGACCACGGGCGGAGGGCGGGGGCGGAGGGAGGGGGCTGCGAGGAGCGACGAGAGGAGAAAAAAGAGGCAGAGAAAGCGAGAGAAAGAGGGAGCGGGAGAGAAAAATAAAGGAAAAGGAAGCTAAGAGAGAACTCCCAGGAACTTCCATCGTTTGGTCACTTCACAAACCGCCCTGTCCACCGCGCTACACACGCTCACGTGCACCTCACACTCTGACTTAAATCCTTTTTAAAAATCGCTCCTGGCACCTCTTTCAAGTCCTCTCATTTATTCGGCAAGTGTTTGGCCTCGAGGTCCTCCGTGGGCAGGCCGGATTAGGGCGGAGGGTGCGGCGCTAGGCTGCGCGCTTGGACACCCCTAAATCGCCGCGGTAGCTGCGACCCAACCCGGGGGGAGCCTGCCCGTGTGCCGGGCCCCAGTGCCTCGAAGAGGAGGGGCGGAGGGCCTCGGAAATCCAGGCAATCCAAGCCCGAAAGGATGTCTCCCCCGCTGCCACCCCGCGCGGGTCGCCGCCTGGGCCGCGTTCTCCGCGGGAGCGGCGCAGGCAGACCCGGCGGCCACGCGCGCTCGCGGTGCCCCAGTATCTGCGCTCGATGTAGGTCGCTCGTCCCTGGTGGGCTCGGCTGCTCGTCTTGTTCTTTTCTGAGGGGCTGGGGAGGGGGCGTGGAGCGCGAGAGGAGCAGACCGCGCGCGGGGGAGGGGGTGCCCGGCCCAAAGCCTGAGGGTGCAAGCCCAGGCGCACAGCCGGGAACCAGCGGCGGCCACAACGCTTTTAATTAGGGCTCGGGCGCCCCGACCGTGGCAGCTCTGGCCGTATCGGGGTCACGGTTTCTTTGCTTCTCCTTGAAACTCGGTTTATTGCCTTTAAGAACCAGATAAGGAAGACAATCACTCGACCGCCGACGATTTGGAAACGAGGAAATCCTATCCAGACCAAAGGAGTATCTCCCAACCAAGTCCCGCAAATACAGACCGAGGTGAGCCCTAGGATCCTCGCGCACCAACCCCACCCGGAAGCTGGAGCCCAGGTCGTCCAGGTTCCAACTGGCTTCGGCTTGCGTGGAGGGCTTTCCATAGGGCGTAAGCGGCTGCTGGTCCCCTCCTCAGGCTGGTAGACACATATTTAAACAGCCCGCTCGAGGTGCAGGCCCGGTTTCCTAAGTTGCTGTCCTCCTTAGTGGGCTTGGGGCTCTTCGGGTAAGGGAAGGGGCTGTACTGAAAGGAAACGAGAGACACCATCACCGACATGAAGCAGGTCAGAGGGCACTTCCTGCCCTAAGACCGCCTAATTTCCCTGAGTCCACTGTCCTTCTTCAGTGGATCACTCTCTAAAATGAGGGCTATACCCCTAAAATGATAGCTTGGAAGGTAGGTGGTACTCGATGCCTGTAACTGTCTCTTGTAAAGACAGACGATCTGGAGCAGCTGGGTGACTTAGCACAGTTCCCGGCAGCTCACTCTTCCCCTCCCAAGGCCTCTCCCAGGATAGAACCCCTCTTACCTGCCCTTGTATCCCAGGTGAAGATGGGCTCACCCTGGATGTCACAGGAACTCAGCTAGTGGAGAAAGATATCGAGAACCTGGCCAGAGGTGAGGTTAAATCTGTGAAATGGGGGTCCACCCTGCTTGGGGGAGATGACCCCTTCTTGTAGGGGAGTTTGTGGGAACACAGGGCTCTGGGGGAATCAGATTTCACTGAGTGGAAAGGACATTCCTCTGGGCACATGATGCTGGCACAGAGGTTTGGGGGGCGTGAGGGTGGGGAGAGTGAACCAAACCCCCAGAAGTTCATTAGAAGTTTGGATTCCCAAGGCTGGCCTGTCTGAAGAGCACAGTGAAAGAGCGCAATGAGTAATGATCCTCAGTGCGCGAAACAAGATAGAGCAATCGGGGGTCTCCCAACCTCACTGGAAAACAGGACTTTTTCTGAAAAGCAAGATTGCAAGGAGATTTATTTAAGGAACATCTGAGAGGTTATTTTTTTCCTGGAATTAATGCATAATCACCACCCCCCAACATGCCCTAAATGGGGTGAGGATAGAGCCTGTTTGCAGAATGGGATCCTGGGGTAGCTGCTCCATCTGCAGGGGAGCGGGTGGCTTGAGGCACAGAGGACAGGAACCTCTGACCCCACTTTGCTCTTCTACCTCCCATTTCTATGTTTCCTCAGCACCTGCTCAGGGTGGGATTTCTCAGAGAGCCTCCCCATGGGGAAGACCCAAATCCCCCATAGCTCCATGGTCAGGGCAGACCCCCCGCCATCCCTTTGTAGCTGGCTCTGAGGGCACAAACGGGGCTCTCCACATCCACCTGCTATCCACCACGCTGCCCTCAACCAGCCATGGGATGGGCTTGGAAAGTGGTGTGGGAGGGGGAGAAGCATTGGTGGTCTTCCACTCTTCTAATCACAGATTATACAGGACACGCAATCACCTTCAGCATCATTGCTGCTTTATATGAGAGCTCTTAGTATGGATTTGGGGGCCTGGGTCCCCCTGAAATTGTGAACAAGCTGTTGTGAGTACAGGTGCTTTTCTGGGGCAGGGGTTCAGGTCTTTCACGAGATTCACCCAGCTCCTAGTGTTGAAGGGAACAATTTGGTGTGTCATTTGGAGGGGTAAACCAAGTCCTGGGCCAACCTCTAAGGTTAGGGAGTTGGGAACGACTTAAAGCAAAAGCCTGGCTGGTTAGCGCCTAGAAACCCAACATGGCTTCCACCATTCTGAATTTAATTCCCCTGGGCAACCTGTCTCCTAGCCCTTTTTCCTCGCCCAAATCATTTGGAAGCAAATGGGAAAACAGTGTAGAGGGCCTTTACCTCCTGACCCTACCACTTCAGAACTCTGGGCCAGGGCGGGACCTGCAGGACCTTGGTGGTGGTAGTGGAGGTGGGGGAATGCCTGAGCCCCGCGCACGCTCCTTTACCTCCTATTCTCGCCCCCTCGCAGACGAATTGCAAAAACTGCTCCTGGAGCAAATGGAGCTCCGCAAGAAATTGGAGCGAGAATTTCAGAGTCTCAAAGGTACCCGTCCCCCCTCCTGACCCACCCTACCCCAACCCACCCCACCCTCACCCCACCCTCACCCCACCTCAGCTCGAGAGCCTTCTTCCTGCCTTCTCCGACCCCAGGTCAGGGCAGCCGCGGTTGCGCGCCAGGCACCAGCCGCAGAACCCTGCTTTTCCGGGGTTTCCCGCTAGGCCCGAGACCGAAGGGGTGGGGGCGGGAATGGGGAGTGGGGAAATGGGGCCGGGGGAGGGGGCTGTGCGTCACAGCTCTCACTTAATCAATTTGCACAGATAATTTTCAGGATCAAATGAAGAGGGAATTGGCTTATCGAGAAGAAATGGTGCAACAGCTGCAAATTGTCAGAGGTAAGACGGGAGTCAGGTGAGCGCGTGCACGGGCCGTAACTGCCTCTCGTCTGGCAGGAGCCGCAATGTTGGCTCAGTCATTTGGATTTAAATTGAAGGTAATTTAACAATTATTTTTTTTATTTAATATCCTTTGTATACTCTGATTAGCCTCAGAATGGCAAGCGAGCCCAGCAAACGGCTTGCAGGCATCATTACATGGAGTGATTGAACTTCTTATCGCGGCAATTTCCATGGTTTCTAAATTAAAAATCGAGGCGTAAAATTACCTGGGAAGTAATGCCTAAGTTTGCTTTAATTTTGGTTAGATCCGTCTGCCTTTAAGCGCCGTCCCAGGTCTTTTCCTCCCTCCGCCCGGCTGCAGGTTGGAGCATTGGTGCTCCCTCCCTCGGTCTCCCGGATGTGTTTCTTGGAGGGGCTGAGCGCTGGGGAGAGGGTGAGCCCGGGGCTGTGACCCCGGCCGGCTGGAGGGTGGTCTCATTTCCTCACCGGCCCCTCCCCATGTCTTCCAGACACTCTGTGTAACGAACTCGACCAAGAGCGGAAGGCGCGCTATGCCATCCAGCAGAAATTAAAAGGTGCGGATGCCGGGGAACAAAGATAGGACTGTTGCCGGGCTCTGGCTGTGCCACCGAATGAATGAATGATGAATGAATGATGGGCAGATAAATGGACGATGAATGAGCTAATGAATGATTGAGTAAATGAAGGGGCTAGTGAGAGGGGAAGACCAGGTCTGCCTGAATCTGAAGCTGAGAGGAGGGCAATCCGAATGTTTTAAATGGGGAAATAATTCTAGAACGGTAGAATAGAGAGGAAGAACCCCTTGAGCCCTGGGCATTGGGAAATCTGCCGTGGGACCCAAATCTGGCCCTGGGCAGATTAACTTCCCTCTTTGTGTGCCTCAGTTTCTTCTTCTGTATAATGGGGCAATGCACCAGCGCACTGATTCTAAATCGCCAGGTTCTCTCTCCTACACTCCTACGTTTTTCTGACCCGCTCACTTGAGAGCCCTTGAGCCCCAAGGGGGTGGGTGAGACCAGGGCGGGCAGGGAAGGGGGCCGAGTGGACGGAGCCGGTAGGCCGCGCAGGCAAGGCTGGGCAAGCAAGGTGCCCAACTTGGCCCGCCCGACTGTCCTTCCAGAAGCCCACGACGCCCTGCACCACTTCTCCTGCAAGATGCTGACGCCCCGCCATTGCACCGGCAACTGCTCCTTCAAGCCCCCGCTGTTGCCCTAGGGCCGGCCCCGCCGCGCCCACGCGCCCTCAAGCCATGCTGCTCTCTTCTTGTAAATACCCGCGGCCGCGGCGGCCGAGAGCGAGGAACAAGCCATTCCGACACGACCGATGTACATACAGCCTCCCGCCCGCCCGCCCTCCTCCCGGGCGCCTTGGCCCAGGGCCCCTTCTGCGTTTCCAAGTGTACATACCACCTCGCCCCATGGTTTAACTCCAGGGCATCGGACCTCATGGGGTTAACTGGACCAAAGGGGGTAAGAAAGTGGAAAGGGGGGTCTCCCCCGCCCCACACAGCCTCGGACCCCCCAGTTGTATACACAGTGTAGCAACTTCGCCGGCGCTGGCCCCGCGCTCCCCTGTCCCGTCCATTCTGAAACTTGTTCCTAATGACAAAGTGGCTATGTGCAATGGGTATAAATGAACTGTGAGTCTCTCTGGGTTCAGTATTGGGTTCTGTTTTATTTATGCTGTAAATTGTTTTGCTTCCTTCTCCTGGACCTACTTCCGGTCCCATTTTGCATTCCCCTTTGGGTTTTGTCTATTTTTTTTTTTCTCGTTAACCTCTTGATGTAACAGCACTTTAAAAAGGGCGACGACTCACGAGATGGAGACCACCTTGAGCCTATTTGGGGAGACCACCCTGTATCCGTGACTTTTGTTTTGTTTTTAATAAAAAAAAAAAAAAGAAAGAAATCTGTCACTTCTTGGGGCTGTGGAGGTGGGGGTGGGGGTGAGGGAGGTGGGCGACGGCGGGCTGAGGGACGCGCAACAGGTGCGGCTCCAAGACCTCAAGCGCGAGTTCTGACGCTCCCGGGCTGAGAATCGCCGGGCTCGGGTGGGCGGCAGCTAGCGCCCCGACTCTCTCCCAGTCCTTCAGACATATCCAGTTTGCTTCCAGGCCACCCTCTCCCCGCGTTTGGGACACTCACTTGAGCCTCTCGGCTCCAGGTAAGAGGACTACCGCAGCCTCCTGGGTGCCATGGTCTCCAACTCTTCCCTGCAGCTCTCACTGGGGCCGAGGATTTACTCTTGCCCTTTTCCACGCCTGTCCCTCAGGGGAAGTCACCCCCGCGCGCCCTTGCAGACGGGACGCTACTGGTAAGCCCAGGTTCAATCAATATTGCCGGGAGGCACGCGCCTCGCCCGCCGGGCCCGTAAGCGCTGGGGTGGGGCGGGGGGCGAGGTACGTAGGGTGGACCTCGGCTGGGCACGCCCGGAAGGGAAGGGCGTGACTGCGTGCTCGTGCACAGATGTCCTCCCGCCTGCCCCTCCTCTACCCCAAAGGATCGAGGCCTGGCAGCTTTAAATGTTCTGTCCGTTTCAGTCCGAGAGGGTGTGCGGACATGGAGGAGCCCATGGAGCCAGGTGAGTCCTGCCTGCGCTGGAGTCAGGTCGTCTCCCCTGGGAAATGAGGTGTGTGTGTGTGTGTGTGTGTGTGTGTGTGTGTGTGTGTGTGAGTGAGTGAGAGAGAGAGAGAGAGAGAGAGACGGGTGGGTTGCTACCTGGCCGCGGTTCATGAGACCTCACCTTGCTACGGGCCTCCTGTCGGCCTCAGTTTCCACAGCGCACCTGCTGGTTAGGCTACAGATAAAGGATGGAAACTGCAGCGCACTTTTTTGGGCAGGGGAGGTGGGGGGAAGAGTGTGCTTGGAGTGGGAAAGCGCCCGGTACTGGGGATCATTGACCCCTGGCTTCCAGTTTCACCCCCTCGGCTGACTCTCAAGGATGCTGTGTCGCTCCCTTTATTACTCTAGGCCTCGGTTTGGGCTCACATAAACTAATAGTCGGGCCTCCTACCCCCTCGGTCTGGGAGGGGAGCTGGGCGCCGGGCAGTGAGTCAAGGCCCGGACCCGCGCCCCGACCACCCCGGCTTCCAACATTCCGGGGATCTCCGCGCGCTTCTCCGCCCCTCCCCTCGGGCCTGGCGGTCTGGGCTGCGCGGGCCGGGAAGCTTGGTGGCGGGGCGGGGCGGCGAGCACGCGGGGCGCAGCGGGCCGCAGGGAAGGGGCGCAGGCCAGGACCCCGCGCGCGCGCGGCGGAGGCAGGAGGCCGGTTTCCGGAGCCCCCGGCGCTGGGGCTCACAACCCTACCCCAGTCGGCCGGGAGGGCTCCGGCTAAACTGTCAGGTGTCGCCCAGGGAAGAAGTCCTCGGGAGGCGCGATGTCCCAGCAGGAACCTTCCAGGGAGCGGGAACGTTTCTGTGGGTGGAATCAACCAGATCATTGGCCACTGTACCGACGGTGAAACTGAGGGCGCGAGAGGAAGTGACTTGCGTCCTCACTGCGTGCGGGGGCCCGGCGGCGGTCGGACCGCCCAACAGTGCAGGTGTTGAGGAGAGCGCGAGCCTTGACCCCCTTGGCGTGACCACGCCTTTGGAAGCCGCACTTCCTTCTCGGTGAAACGGGAATGACAGGCACTGCCCAGGCAGGAAGTTCCAGGGCCGCGGCCCACACAGAGGAGCCCAGCTAATATTTCTCTTCACCTTCCCTTTCCGAATTACCCCGAAGTGGAGGGGGAAAAAGCCGTAGGCGGCTGGGGCGAGCCCGAAAGGGCGCCCCATCTGGGCCAGAATCCCTGCAGATTGGAGGTGTAGGCGGATCCGACCCAGAAAGCTTTGTTGCAAAACCCTCCTGGGTTCCTCGTCCCTTCAGAAGTGGTTTGTTCTCCCCCAAATGTTAATAACCAAACGATTGGTATGGATGTAATTATCAATAATTATACGAATTATTGCTGATTGCAGGGCTCGTAGCTACTTTAATTAGTTTACCAGATTCTAATTAAGTTAAATGAAACATTAATAGGGAAAATATGCTTTGGAAAAAAACCCCAGGATTTTTAAAAAGTCTATTTCTCGCCACAACGTTGCCACCTTGCGACACAATTTAGGTATGACAGCCCAGAGTCCGAAGGCTCCAGATTAGGGAGCCCTGTCTTAGGGAGAAAACGTGGGGTTTGGGGAATAGCTGGAGGGCTGTAGAGCACAGAACGTCCTCCTGGGTGTTGCGTCCAAATTTTTGGTGTCACACTCCTGGGAGGTGCCCACAGGAGGTCCAGCTCTGGAGTCCAGGGTGTGGGGATAAAGAGCCAGGCAAACATGGCTTGATGTTTCACCCCCCTGGGAGGAAATCCCAACTCCATCTATCCTGCAAATCTGGCAAACTGTAGGCAAAACAAACAAACAACAAAACAAAACAAAACCAGCTGGAAGACCTCTGGATTCCTGGGACTCACCTCTGCATTCCTATGGCACTTGGTTTATGAAAAACTCAGGGGGTATTCAGTTCTCTGAGTTCTCCTTGGTTTTGTATGTCTGTTTCCCATAGGACTGTAAGTACCCTGGCAACAGGGGCCATGGCTTGCCCTTCCTTGGAATCTCCAGGACAGGGCCTAGGGCATCCCAGTAGCTCAACAGATGTCTCAATGAAGGGGTTCCAACTTTGTGGTTAGTCCGGGTGCTGGAAATGTCCGAAGGAAGGAGTCCCTAAGTGTTTCTGAATATCAGCTATTGCGAGGCTATTAAACTCATTTGCATCATGTTAATAAAGCATAAACTTATTGCTCAGAGGATCCTTCATCAAAAGGATTATTTTGGAGGGCAGGTGTCTGCTAAGAGATTGTCAGCCTAGGAAAACTTTCTACCTCTTCCAGAGTGTCCCAAAGACGGTGCTCCTCTGCTCCTTCACATTTTCCAAGTTCACCAGGCACCCATTCCCAGCTACCCCGATCTAAATTCTAGCCTCGATCCTTTGCAAAAATACGACTCCAGTCCTTGAATTCAGAAAACCAGCAAGAGCAGAACTGGACCCGTGTGCCCTTTCTTTCCATTAATTCTGAACAGCTGTATCTCTCATTCTCTACCTACCATCCAAGCTGGTGTAGTGTTTGGTTAGGAGCACAAGCTCTCTAGCCAGATTTCCTGGGTCTCAGTCCCTTCTCTGCCATTTACTAGTTGTGTGACATTGGACAAGTTGTTGAATCCCTCTGTGCCTCAGCTTCCCCATCTGCAACTGGAGGCGGGAGAAGGTACCTACTTCACAGAACTGTGCAGAGCCAGGAAAGTCAGCCAGGTCTCTGACTTTTCCAGGACTAAGAATTGCCTGTATGTCCTCTTATCTGCTCCAAGACAACAGGTCATACCAAGTGGAATAACAAGTTTCTTTAGAAGGAGAGAGAGTCATGCCAACATTGGTCTTTTCCTTGTTTGGCATCTCAGAAGGAGACTTTGAAAACCACGCACCCAGTTACCCAAGTTCCTCCTAAGAACCAGGCATCTTTGGGGGAAGAAAGGAAAACCAGAGCTTGTCCTCCAACTCCATGCACTGGAGGCCGTGAGCCGAGGAGAAGGCGCAACGAGAGGTCCCACAGACCCACATTCTCGGCTGTTACCTGGAAAGGATCATTTCACCTCCACTGAAGAGAACAGAGATGGATCCCTGATGGAACGCCGCTTGGCAGCTCCGAGCGCCTGCCCGGAGAGGACTCGCCGCTGCTCTGGGGCGGCTCAGGGGCTCCGCCTCTGCTGCCTGCCCGAGCTTTGGGGAGCCCAGAGCCTGGGAGCTCTGCAGCCCTGGATAGAGCCCTGCTACTCTCCGGGCGGCTGCAGAGACCGCTGGGCCCACTACGAGTGTGCTCAGGCACCTGCAAAGCTTGTTCACCATTTTTTTTTTCTCCTGGAAAGAAAACACATCGATAAAGTCCGCGCAAGAAATCTGAACTTTACTGGACTTTTCCCCTCTTCCCATCTTACCAAGTAGGACTGTGCTTTTTTGCAGTCATTACGTCGGGGTAGGGTCCCGATCTTTTCAGGGCCTGTGCCTCCAAAGGTCTTGCCGGGCCTCGCGGCAGCCACTTTCTCATGACATGATCACTGCCAGGGTGCTTTGCCTCTCGGGGTCTCCTGTAAAATGCTGACAGTAGTACGCAGGGCTGTCAGGAGTACTGAGATACTGGAAGCCCCTGGCACATGGTAGATGCTTAATAAGGAGTGGGCATTACTATGT